ACACACACACACACACACACACACACACACACACACACACACACACATATATATACTTTATGCACGGAGACATAATAGAATCTGCCAGAGGAAAATCAGTCTCATGGACGGCTTTTCCACAGTGGGGAAGGAAGCCACAATAGACAGTTTCCTCCTTAAAAAGTTTGCCCAGTGACCTGAAACCATGGTTATTTACCCAACCAACTTTATTTGGGGTGTCTGCCCCTGCACATACCCTCAATCAATCAAACAACAAAACATTTATTAAGCACCTACTATGTACCAGACACTATGCTAGGTGTGGGCATTACAAAGTCAAGATGAAACAGCCCCTGCCCTCAAGGAGCTTAAATTCTCCTTAAGGGGGTACAACATGTATATACATAAGAAAAAACAAAAATTAATGATATTACTAATAATAATAATAAGTAGCCAGGGATGGAAGGTATGATCCTTGCATTTATAATAGTGGCTTCAGTACTTGGCTGAGTTCATTATTTCAGCAGGTAGTTCTTCCACCAGAATAATTCAAAGCTTCCAGTCCTCTCATCTTCAGTGATTTTTGTCCATATCTTAAAGAATAGAAACTCCATGAGGGCAGGTACCATCTCACTTTTGTATTTGTATCCCTACAGCTTTGCATATGGTGGGTGCTCTAAGGATGATTTGTGGCAAGATCAATACATCAACAAGCATTTATTAAGCACCCACCTATAGCTATATGGGTAGAGAACTGGAGATCTGGAGTTGAAATGGAACATACAAAAATAATAGAGTTAGAGCTGAAATAGACTTTAGAGACCATCTTGTCCAACTCCTGCTTTACAGATATGAAAGCTGAGGTCAAGAGAATTGCCAAAAAAAAAAAAATCACAGATGTAGGAAGGGCAGAGGCAGGATTTGAACCCAGGTCCTCAGACTCGCAATTCACTACTCTTTCCACTGTAGCATGTTGTTGTTGTTGTTCAGCCACGTCCAACTCTTTGCAACCCCTTTTTGGGGAGGATTCTTGGTCAAGATACTGGAGTGGTTTGCCATTTCCTTCTCCACTTCATTTCATAGATGAAGAAATTGAGGCAAATGGGGTTAAGTGACTTGCCCAGGGTCACACAGCTAGATAGTGTCTGAGGCTGGATTTGAACTCAGGAAGACTCATCTTCCTGACTGTAGGCCCAGCACTCTATGCACTATGGCACCACCTAGCTGCCCTCCACTGTAGCATATAGTTCCTCAGTGAGGATCCCGAGGCAGTGAGAAGTTAAGTGACTTCCTAGGAAATGACAGAGGTAAGATCTGAACCCAGGTCCTTGGAGTTGAAAACTACTGCTCTTTCTACTATGCCACGGAGTTTTCATTAAACCCCACCTTTTGCTGGATGCTTTTCTCTGTCTCCCCAAGCTCCTATTGCCTTCCCTTCTGAGATCACCTTCCATATCTTGTATGTACCTCATTATTTGCATCGTTCCCCCCCTTAGAAGGTGAGCTCTTTGAGGGCAGGCACTTTTTTTGGCCCCACCCCACCCCCTTTTTGTACAGCTAGGTCCCAATTAGTACAAATATAACCACCCCCCTGAAGTGGTTGCTTGTATTCAAAAATTCACACAATTCAAAGTTATAATTACGTAAAATATGGTAATTGGTTCCAGCCCAATGAAAAGATGCAATGCAAATTCAAATAATGGAAACATTTCAGGGGAGACATTATTCCCAGTAATCAGGACCTAACTGTATCTCCAGCACTTAGTACAGAGGCTAGCCTATAGTAATTATAATAAAGCATATTAATAATATAATCAATACATGAACTAATATAAATTACAAATATAATAACTAATTTAATGAATGCTTGTTAACCAATTGATAAACTGAATGCACAAAAACTTTTAAAGATTCTGAGGGAATGGAAATGTCATGTAGCACCTTTTGGTTGGTGAGAGCATTTGCTGATAAGACATTTCCTCTAGTTCTTTTAAGAGGGACCATCAATTTAAAATCCATTTCAAAAACTCTCTGTTTTCTCCTACTGGTGAAGTGAGGATGGTCTGAAAGGAAGGATAGGGAAGATGGCTTTCAATTCCCCATTCAAATATGGGCCCTTTGGCATTTCTTTGTCTGCAACAGCATTCCCAAGTGGTCCAGACAGCTCGGTCCCAAGAGGAAGAATTGGTGGAAGCCCTCAGAGCAGAGTTTCATGATACTGCTTGTGATATTCAACGCCTTCAAGCGGAGACGGAGTCCTTGAGAACCTTGGTAAGCAGCTACTGGATGGGAAATGTTTCTGCCCAGTCTTCATCTCCTTTCTGTTATCTCCTAGTGACCTGAGAGGTACATTTTTTCCCCCAGCAAATTTCCATTTCAGTGCAAGGACACAATAAGCCTTCTGGCTAGTAAGGGGGTCCTGGTGAACTAAATAGTTTGATTAATTACTGTCTCTCCTGAGAATAGTAGTTCCCTCAAATATTATCTGAACTACATGAGTATTTACCTACAAGTGGGTCTGACAGATGGCATCTCCCATTTATAGGATCACAGACTTAGAACTAAAGAGGATGTTACAGGATATCAGATCTGAACTGCTTGTTTTACAGATGTGGAAACTGAGGCACAGAAAAGTTAAGAGACCAACTTGGTCTGAGGAAACTGAGGCAAACAGGGTTAAGTGACTTGCCCGGGGTCACACAGCTAGATAGTGTCTGAGGTAGGATTTGAACTCCAGGTCAAACAGATAGTAAATGGAAGACCTGAGATTTTAATTCAAGCCCTAGGATTCCAGGGTCTTTCTAGACTAGAGGCAGCTACGTGATATAATGGGTTGAGTACTTGGCCTAGAGTCAGGGAGACCTAAGTTCAAATACTATCTCAGACACTTACTAGCTATATGACTCTAAGCAAGTTACTTAACCTCTGCCTACCTCAGTTTCCTCAGCTATAAAATGGGGGTAATCAAAGCACCTTCCTCTCAGGGTTGTTGTAAGGATCAAGGGAGACAATAATGATAAAGTGGTTAGCCCTGTGCCTGGCATATAGTAGGGTAAATAATATGATAGCTGAGATGAATTAATGATTCAGTTACTAATTTAGCCTAAGCAAAGTGCCTAAGGATCATCATGGTGTTTTAGTAGGAAGAATGCTAAATCTGGAATCAGAGGATGTGAGTTCAAATTCTACTCTGACCTTATTAGATATGTGACCTAACCTATCTGGGCCTCAGTTTCTTCAACTGTAAAATGAAGATGTTGAACTGTGGAGTCCTTTCCAGCTTTAAAACTATGATCCAATGATCTGAATTCTAATTCTGTCCCTGCTACTTACCAGCTGTGTGACATTGGGCTTTGTTACTTAAGCCTTATGGGCACCAGTTATCCATTTGTAAAGTAAGGAAATTGGATCAATGACTAGTATTTGTACAACACTTTAAGGTTTGCAAAGTATTTGGTAAATATTATTTCATCCTCACAATTCTGGAAAGTAGATACAATTATGAGATTATTAGATTAGGAGACACCTAAGGTCCATTTCAGCTAGGCAGGTAGCAAAGTGTTGGACTTGGAGTTAAGAAGACCTGAGTTCAAATCATCCCTTGGACACTTAACAGTTATATGACCCTGAGGAAGTCACTCCCCTTCATCTCAGACTCAGTTTTCTCATCTCAGAAATAGGGATCATAATAGCACCTATTTAGCAGGGTTATTGTAAGGATCGTGAGATAAGGAATGTAAAACCCTTTGCAAACCTTAAAGTGGTATGCAAATGCTAACTGTTATTATTATTATTATTGTTAATCTATGATCCTATGAGCTATGATTTCATCAGCAGTAAGGAACTTCTAGTGTGGGAATTCCCTACACCAAATAGAACACCACCTGACCACAGTTAATGAAGCCACATAAAAGTTAAATGACTTGCCCATGGTCACACAACCTAGTGGCACAATGGATGGAGCACTGGGCCTAGAGTCAGAAAGGCTCATCTCTGTGAGTTCCAATCTGGCCTTAGACACTTAGTAGTCGTGTGACCTTGGGCAAGTCACTTAACCCTGTTTGTCTCAGTATAAGATGAAGTAGAGAAGGAAATGGTAAACCATTCCAGTATCTTTGCCAAGAAAACTGCAAATGGGGTCATGAAGAGTCAGGCATGACTGAAACAACTGAACAATCCAACTCAGAATTTGAACCCAGAACTCCCAGAACTAAGTCCAGCATTCTCTCCATTATGTGCATTTTGTGTCTCTTCTATTACAATATTAAGTAAAAAAAAAAACAAAAAACAAAAAAACCCAGACATCTCTAGCTTGGCGTTTCATCAAAAGTGGCACCACTTTGACCTTCAATTCTGGTGAGATGTTTGTTTTTGGTTTTGTTTTGTTTTGTTTTACTGATGGCAAATGACAGCAATAATAGTCATAGCAACATAGCACTTTAAGGATTACAGAGTGTTTGCTTCCCATAAGTCCTATGAGGATGGATTATATATCGTTGATATGTATTAATTAATGTATTCATATATAATGTAAGTTAATTAAGATGTTACTATTATTCCTGTTTACCAGATAAGGGGGCTCCCGTAGTTGGAGTAGGTGGTCCAAGGGAGTTTTTATCCCACTGAAATGGGCCTCAGATCAATACCATTGGGAGGTGCTTAGTTCGTGATGCAATATCACCCCCAGCATTTAAAGAACTAGCCCTGCTATCAATCTCATACCTTCTCTTCCTGCATGACCCACACCCAATGCCACCTCTATCCATTATTTGCTGGAAATACTGAATTAACTGCAGACAGCACCCTATGGAACCACAGCCCTTTTCAGTAACCGTCCATCTCAATAGGATTTGTTCTGTAAGAGGCCGCACCCAAGGACCTAGAAGGCCACATGTGGCTTCGAGGCCACAGGTTCCTCACCCCTGGTTAGGGGTTAATATGTGTCAGGCACTGTTCTAGGTGCTAAGCGCTAATCTAGGCAATTCCCTCGGTTGCCACAAGATGTGTGGGATCTAAACCAGCCTTCCTGGATGGGGAATGAGACTCTGAACTCTAAGGTAGATGTGAAAATTTTGTCAGGACAGTAAATCGACTGGCTCACCTTAGCCCTCCACATGAAGCTGACCTCGGTCTATGCTTCATCCCATTCTGGCATCCATGAGACCACCAAGGCCTAGCCAATATGGGCGTCTTGCCATCTGCCCTGCTACAGCATAGGTCCTGTTCCCCTTCTCCCCACCCTTGCTCAGGGAGGAATAATCAAATCAACATTGTTGCCACTGGAAAGGAGGCGACAATCTATTGCCATCCCTGTGACTGCCTAGACTAAAACTTCCTTCCCTGGCTACCACTCCCTCTATTCAAATGGAAGCTTCCTTGAGGGCCAGGACAATCTCACTTTTATATTTGTATCTCCAGCCCTTGGCATAGTGCCTGACACATGTTCAATGGTTAATAAGATGCTTGATGATTGACTGTGGTAGCTCCAGGAGACTAGGCAGCTACAGTTACTCTCACATCACCAGACCCTGGTTCTCCTTCCTGTCTAATAGAAAACAGCTGTAAATACAGTGTCAGCCACACAGCTGATGGGAAAAGAAACCTCCCCATATACTGAAAGCTTAGGGATAATGCATTAGAGTAGCAGGCTCTTAAGGATTAGGATATTTAAAAGAAGGAAAAAATTGGGGGGGGACAGAAGCTCTCTAGAAATTACTCCCATTTCTATAGTACTTTTACCTTTGCAAAGGAACCACCACCTTGTGAAGGAGGAGAAATATTATTATAATATGTATTTTACAAATAAGGAGTCTCAGAAATGTTAAGTGATTGGCTCCTCATCATAGAGTTAGCAATTATCTGAGGCAGGATTTGAACCCAGATCTCCTGACTGCAAGTCTAATGCACTCTCTTTGCTACAGTTTGCCTCTTTTTTTTTAGCTCTGACAGCTTTGGTCCTAAGGCTACATTATCAAGTATTAGGGCCTTTCTTTGACTCCTAGTTCAGGAATCCTGATTAACACTGGATAGGAAACATAAAGGCTTAAAAAAAAATAAAAGACTGAGTAGGAGGGGGCAGATGGTGACACATCGAATAGAGCACTGGCCCTAAAGTCAGAAGGACCTGAGTTCAAATCCAGCGACTTTGGGCAAGTCCCTTAACCCTGATTGCCTCCAAAAATGGCAGCAGGGGAGTGGGGGAGAGACTGGATAGGAACCAATCAGTCCCATAACTTTTGAGCCGTCATATGTGATCTTCCCATCTCTATCACTGATGGGGCCTCATTTTGAACAGCAGGCAAGATTGCCTGAATAACGTGGAAGGCTCTAGGCCTCCTGGGTGAACACAGCCACGTTTACATTGGCAGCCTTGCCCTAATAATGATGTCGAAGGCCTCCTAAGCTGCGCGTTCAGTCAACTGAGATCAGGAATGTAACACGAGGCCAGAAACCACAGAAACCTTTTCAGAGAGAGAAGGAAGGAGGTGGGGGATGGGGGGAGAGAAGATTTAAGAGTTCTGCAAGCTCCTTCTCAACACCCGATTTTTGGTCCTGAGGGTGAAATCAGTATGTAAGTCCATAGGTTCATGGATTTAGGCCTGGAAAGGGCCTGAGAGGCCCTTTCATTTTACAAACAAGAAAACTGGGACTCATAAAGAATAAGCTACTAATGTGTCTGAGTCAGGATTTGAACACAATTTCAGCATTTTACCCATATACTATTATTCCAGTCACAGTTAAGGAAGCTACAAAGATGGTGGCTTTGGACGAGTCATCGCAACTCTCTGAGATTCAGCAAGATGAAGGGTTTGGATATAGATGGCCTCTAAGGGCCATCTTTCAGTATGAGCCTATGGTCCTAGCAGGTAAACACCTGCTAGGTGACTATAAACATTTCCTTGGGTCTTTCCTCGGCCCCTGTTTCATCATCTACAGAATGAAAAGTTGATCTCTGAGGCCCCTTACACTTCTAAAATTTTATAATCCTATGTTCCTTTATCCATGGCAGAGCTCCTATTAACCCCCAGGTAGAAATTATACCATGGTAGAACTGGATTCCAATTCTGAGGGGAGAATGAACGTGTTGGTTCTGATCTCAGAGGGAGAGAACTTGGAGAGGCATGCCACCTTGGATTCGTACCAGAAAGGATCACCTAACCCAGTTGTCTCATTGGCCTAGAAAAATGAAGTGACTTGTTTAAAGTCACACAGGGAGTGAAAAACAGAGCCAATATCAGAGCCCTGGTCTTTCAGGCTCTTTCCACTAAATGAAGTGGCAAGTGGCAATTCTCATGACTTCTCCCTGTGTCGGTCCAGGCTAAATGCAAACATTGCAGGGCTTGTGATGGAGGTAAACTGAGGAAATAGAAAGACCTTTAGATTACTGAATCATAATAATAACAAGTTTCTCCCTGAACATCCCCACACACATACACACATCCAATGTGAACGACCACCCACAGGTTAATAAATTCTTTAAAAAACAAAAAGCTGAGGGGAGAGCCCAGGGAGATCAGAACATGTTTCTCAAGTTCAGGGTGGCCTAATTCTGCCACACACATTGCAGGAATTGGTTTTTAGCTCCTGTTATGGATACAGTTCTATTAAAAAGCCTGATCCAGAGTCCTGTCCTGTTGGCCTCATTTTGCCTCTGCAAAATTACCCAGGATCTGCTCTGATGTCTAATTCAATGGCATCTAGAGAAGCTGAAGTTAAGATGATATGCCTGCCTCTACTGAACAGCAGCTACTTACAGCTGCTCCCAGGTAGCTAGTACTAAACATTTTAACTTGATTTAATAATTCATTAGACTGAGAGCTCCTTGAGAGCAGGAACTGTTTTTTATTTGTTTGTTTGTTTGTTTTGCCTTTCTTTGAATACCTAGCACTTAGCACAGTGCCCAGCATGTAGTAGATGCTTAATAAATGCTTGTAGATTGACTGAGGATTTATTAAATACCTGCTACATACCAGGCAGCTAGGTCCACTAGTGGTGGGAGTGCTGGACTTGGAATCATGAAGACCTCAATTAAAATTCTGCCTTAGGCACTTACTAGCTGTGTGACCCTGGGCAGTCCCTTAACCTCTGTCTGCCTCAGTTTCCTCATCTGTAAAATGAGAATGGTAGTACCACCTACCTCCCAGGACTGTAGTGAGAATCAAATGAGATAATACATATAAACAGTTCTGTAAAACTTCAAAGTGCTATATTAGTTATTATGTGTTATTATTACTAGACACTAGGAATACAAAGACAAAACAAAAAAACAGTCCCTGCACTCAAGGAGCCTCCATTTTACTGGGAGGATACAAAATATCCACAAATAAATCTATACAAAATATATACAAAGTAAATGCTAAGTTATCCTTTGCTGAGGGAAAAGGTGCTCACTGGGAAGAATGAGGAGAAGTCTCGTGTAACACATAACAAGCTATAGGCAATGGTCTCTCATAAATCTGCCATGAGGATCTATCCAAGGAGCTAGGACTCCTCTTCTATGTTATCTGTCTATTGCTGCAAATGGCAACAATCATTCAAGTTATGACCCCAGCCATTACCCCTCCCTTTGTGTAACAGTCCTCTCTGGCCACCATTTCTCTATGTATGTTGTCTTCCCTGTTAGAATATAAGCCCTTTGAGGGTAGGGACTGTTTTGCTAGCTTATGTTTGTATCTTCAGTGCTTAGCATAGTGCCCGGTATATAGGAAGCACTTCATAAATGTCTTTTCATTTGTTCATTTTTAATATTATGGAGGTATCTTTGCATCAGGCAGTCTGTACAGCTGTTAGCCCTCCTATTGACTACTGATCGACCTGTGGTATCTTTAGTGTAAGGAACTCCTAGTGAGTGAGGAACTCACCTCTTCATCAATGCAAATAAACAACTATTCTGTAACATTTAGTTTAAAGAGTAGCCTAGAGCATTGAGAAACTTAGTAAGTTGCCCAGGGTCACAGAGTCAGGATATGCCAGAGGCAAGATTTGTACTCGGATCACTCTGGCTCTGAAGACTCTTCTCTGTCCGTTGTCACTGGTCCTACCTTCTTTTAATTGTATCTTTTTACTCTACTTCTTATCGAGACTCAGACATGTGGTTGGATATGCAGCCCACTGGGCTCATCCATCACTACATATGTCTTAGACAAACGCTACACATGATGGATGAGTTGCACCCAGAGTTGAATAGGAGGAAAAGGGCAAGCTGAATTGCCCTTGGGATGTGGCTCAGGCTTTTCAAAGACCCACATTCCTTCCAAACAAAAGTTTGCCTTTATGCTACCAACATTCTTCCAGAGAGGTACTCCAAGGCCGTGGATCATACAAACCCACTTTTGCACAATGTTCCAAATGTTCTCTTCTCCTAGAAAAGAGGTCTGGAGAACTCATTGTATGATGCCAAGCACTGGCATGACATCGAGCTCCAGAACCTGGGCTCTGTTATCGCCAAGCTAGAAGCGGAGCTTGGGGAAATCCAAAGGGAAACCGAGCAGCAGCAAAAAGACCGCGAGCATCTGTTGTCCGGCAAGCTCCAACTGGAGAAAGACATCGTGTCCTATCACTGCCTTCTGGATAGAGAAGGAAGCAGGTATTTGTTTATTCCAGTGTGGAAACCATAGTGGCATGATTTAGGGCTCTGCTTTCCAGCCAGTTCTTTACAGAAACACACAGAAAGCTTCAAGATCCTCCTGTTTTTCATAGGATCATAGGTCTAGAACTGGAAGGGGCCCCAGGGTTCAGCCCCCTCACTTTATAGATCAGGAAACTGAGAATCTGGGGAAAGGGGAGCAGTGCCTTTGTTTAAAAAAAGTTTCATTATTTTTTTTTTAAACATTTCTATCACTGCCCAATAATACCTCCCTGGTAACAAAGCAATGAAGTGTAGCCCATATTGACCACATCTGATCATGTATGCTTCATTTAGTACCCATAGCCCATCCCTATTCTACTGAGAAGAAAGAGGTAAGTTTCAAGGCTTCTAGGTGGCCCAGTAGTTGAGGGTTCTGGACTTGGAGAGCAGCTGTGTGACCTAGGCAAGTCACTTAGCCCCCCTCAGCCTCAATTTTCTCATCTGTGAAATGGGGGCGATAATAGCACCCACCTCCTAGAATTGTCATGAGGGTCAAATGAGGTCCTTAAAGCACTATTTAAATGCTAGCAATTGTTATTATTTCATCTTTACATTTTCTTGTTGTTGTCTCACAACTGTGCCATATTATCTGCCTCAGAAGAAAGAGTTTACCCTGGAGAGCCACCACCTTCTTTCTCCTTTCATCCTCAAGATAGACTTCCAACCCATGGCTCTTTGGCGATGACTGCTGTTGAATTAAGCAATTGTGGTTTAGAAATGATAGTCATAAAAATACAGATAATCTTGCCAGTGTCCTATGACCAGAACTGATTTTGCCATGCAAACAATTTATATATATTAAGTCTGTGAAATGAGAGTTTTCCTCCTGTGCCTTATTGGAGGTTAGAGGTGAACTTGGGTTCTCAAAGGCTCTGTCCATAGGGCATAAGCTCTAGCAGGCTCTGTCTACCAAGATGTGATAGACCATGTGTCTGATGTCTGGGGACTAGCCTAGAGAAGACCAGTTCAGAGTGCCTTATCACCAGACTGGCCACTGGAAGGTAAAGATTTTTGGCCACTGGAAGGTGAAGATTTTTGGCCACTGGAAGGTGAAGATTTTTGGCCACAGAAACTCTTGAACACAATTCATTTAGACCCAGAAAGATTGCAACCTTCACCCACGAAGGGAGGAGGGTAATAGCCACACTAAAGGAATAACAGATCCTGAAAGTATCAAAGTTCACTGAACTTGCAACAAGCAAAGTCCACTGTGTCTCTGTGGAGTTTGTGCCGCATCTATTTTTAATAACTAATGCATATGTGTATTTTCAGCTAATTTGGAAAATTCCTGTTTCACAGAAGTCGATGGTGAATAGCTGGAGAAGTTGCCAGAAGAACTCTTCCCAGAAGCATCACCCTTGGCTTGAGTCGAATAGCTCCCCACAGATACAAAGGATTATCGCTGTTAATACCATTGCTATTTCTTAATTAATATAGGCTTTAGTGTGAGATGCTTCCCTGGTTGCTCTTCAAATAAAAGCTTGGCTGTGCAATTTTCCATTCACTCACCCTCATCAAATGAGCCCCTTGGTAGGTGAATGTCTTATGAGCTCACTGGTCTTTTTCTCATGGCTTTTAGGAGTCTAGTTGAACCATTTCCAAAAAAGACTAAAGTGTGAAGCCACCTGTTCCACCATCCAGGGCCACGGAGACAACCCAGACTGCTCCAGTGCCTAAAAATAGAATTTTGATGTTTAGGTTAAAAAAATAATCCAGTATTAGTGCCAGGATGTCTACTGGTGGTTGTTAACAACCGGCAGCACCATAATAAATGTCAGCTGTTATTATGTGATGATCAGAAGTAGTATGCAGAGTGTATAGAGAATTTGCTTGGAGTCAGGAAGACCTGGGTTCAAACCCTGCGCCTGATGTATCCCGGCTGTGTGACCCTGGGCACTAGTGCCCCAGAAACTCCTAGAGGCAGTAAGTTTCAGAACAGCTGGTCATATGCATAGGTAGGAGGAGTTTCTCATGAAGACTTCCTTATACCAACGAAATAATAGCCCCCAAGTAATCATTACATAAAACAATAAGAAAAGTAACAGCTCACATTAATACGGTCTTTATTTCCAAACTGCTTTGCATACATTATCAGATGAGTTACCATATTATAAAAGCATTCTGCAAACCAAATTACATAGAACTATAAGTTCTATATAAATGCCGTGTATTCATATTAGTATCATCCAATTTGATCTTTGCAACAGCCCTGTGATGTAGGTGGGAGTCCACATGGAGCTGGGAATTTTGGAGGGTCAAAGGGTCCTTGGGTGCATCAATAACATAATTTTAGTTTCCTCTTCTTGGCTACTCAATGGGCTCCATGCAGCCAAAGATGGTGGCCATTTTGCAGAAGAACAGACTGAGGGTTATTGAGGTTTAAACAGCTTCCCGGGGGTCAGATAGGGTCAGAAGCAAGATTTGTAGCCAAATGTTGCGGACTCAGCATCTAGCTCTCTATTGGTTAGGCTACACTGCTGTCACAAGTGAATTCTAGCTGATGAATGCAGTAAGTTGCTGCTTTTTTATCTGGATGGATGGATGAGAAGACAGACAGATAGAGATGATACAGGGATAGGAACTGGACCTATGATCTCACCATATATAGAATTCCCCAGAGAGGTGACTCCTACAAATGCAATTTGGCACCTTGCCTGCAGATCACTCATAGTCAATGCATGTCAGAGGAAACACTTGAACCCAAGTCTTTCTGGCTGGAAGGCTGACCATCCACTATACCAGTAGTATTAAAAGCAAATAGAAACAGAGGCCACTAATCTATACATAAGGATCCTTTTGGGCAAAATACTGACAGTTTTGGGGCAGGTAGGTGGTGCAGTGGCCAGAGCACCAGCCCTGAAGTTAGGAGGACCTGAGTTCAAATCTGGCCTCAGACCAAACACTTGACACTTTCTAGCTGTGTGACCCTGAGCAAGTCACTTAACTCCAATTTCCAAAAGTTGTATATATATATATATATATATATATATATATATATATATATATATAT